CTGCTGGATGAAGGCGTCCATACGCCGTGTCGGCCACGGGAATTGGTCGAACATACTTCACCGCGCTGGTCACATGCGGGGTTTGATGAAGTTGAGGCCTCGGACCGGTTCAGGCGTCACCCGCCACTAATGTCAGCCATGGCCGGGAATCAAGTTCAGCTTGCAGGTCTCATAGCGCAGTGCTCTTCACCAGGACACTGCCGCCTCACCTCCACTATAAAATAGGCAGTTGTATACATCACAGCGCCCACTGCACTTGGATAGATATAGCAGCTCACAGCGGTATGCGGCGTTGCATGTACAAATGCTCTCAGCCTAATCCAGACCACCAGCTCAGTAGAACTGCATGCGATGTTTTTTTTTCGTCATTTTGCAGATTTGAATTCTACACGTGATTCACTCTCTCTCTCTCTATGCATTACTCATCCACTTCACCACCACCACCACCACGACAACAAAATCATCGTCATCTCCCCCATGATCCCGGTGACGCACGATCCTTGCTATTTTCGTGCGGTGTTTTTTGAGGCGCCGTAACACCGAGGCCGCATTCTAACTTGGAACGTTGCACGTTATTTAATGCGAAGTCGCCTTCGGGTCCGGTCGAAATATCCGTCCGCGAAGCGTTGAATCGGGAGCCTCGATTTTCAACCTTGCCCTCGATAGAGAAAAACAAAAGAAAACCCCAATCTAATAGCTCTTGGGGTTTGGGGTGTTTTCGGTTCTGCTTCGCGGCAATGAACAGTCGGGTGAAGGCAAAAAACAAAGAGCAAAGAGTGCATGGAATTGTAAACAGCTTGCCAGGAGCTGCGTGCAGCTCATCCCCATTGGCCCACGGTCGTTTATTGCAGCTCAGTAGCCGCGTTAGGGACACTGCCAACGCGTAATGTTGGTTGGAACAATCGACTTTGATTCCAGGGGGGGTCCACGGTTCGATCTCCATGAAATAATGGGTCAAGTTTTCTTAAATCAGCCCGTCACCAACCACCCCCCCCCCTCAACACTATGTCCACCCAACAATCTTAATGGGTACACCGCCTTTAGTTGATCAGCAGTCGTGGGGTGAAGTGTGGGTACACTCACCTCTTGCCAGACGCGTGACCGGCGAGGAAGAGTAGGCCAAATACCCTCTGGAGGGGCTCTCGAGTGCTCCTTCTATCTTACTGCTGCCTACTTTATTGCGGGGGGGGGGGGGGGGCGATAATTGGCACGTAAAAATAAAGACTGATTGATTAATAATTGGTTTTTTACCCTTCTATCTGGCAACAAAACTGACACCTTTTTACAAGGAGCCATGTTTGCATAGACCACACCCGAGACAGCTTTCCTTACACCCATGTGAGACTAGGCTCTAAGGAAAGCTGTCTCGGGTGTGGACCAATCAACTTCAAGGACAGTGCATATATTATCAGAGTTATGTTTTTTGTTTGCATTATGGCTGCAGGTATTGTGGTCTATGCAAACATGACTCCTTGTAAAAAAGGTGTCAGTTTTGTTGCCAGATAGAAGGGTAAACAAACAATTATCATATTTTTTACTGGCAAATGAGGTTCCAATACTTATTGATTAATTAGCTGCTCGGACATACGGATCAAACACACGTGGACACATTGTAAATTAAATAAAAGGGGACAACGCTGAGAAAATTTCGATTTAAAGCTTTCGTGACTGCAGGGATTCATCTTCTTGGTTCTTTCGGTAAAGTCACGTAGAAGGGAAGTAATAAAATAATAAAAATAAAACATAATAAAACAATTCTCACGACGTTTCGGCCACAACGCAAGCAGCCGTCCTCAGGTGAAAACAGGTCCGTCGAGGCGACAGAGTCGTGTGCTGTTTCATTCAGACTCTGTCGCCTCGACGGACCTGGTTTTCACCTGAGGACGGCTGCTAACGCTGAGAAAGTTCCGCGCCTGGACGCGCGGGCAGGGCCATGCTTGGACTTGCACCGAGACGCAGAGAGAGAGAGAGAGAGGAAGGCTTGGGTTCGAGATAGAAAAAGTGTGGGTGGTGTGGGCGGACCGTGCATTGCTTGGTCGAGGCTAAGAACAGAGCGGCAGCCAAACGAGGGAGTGGAATGGCACGGAGAAGACGACCGCCGTGGAGATGGAGCAGCGAATCGAGCTCGCGTGGAGGCGCCGGGTAGACTGTGGCCTCGCGGGGCCGTTGGAGACGGTGACGGATCCGTCCAGCAAGCTCATCGAGCGTGGCTGCTTGGTGAAGACGGCGATGAAGAGGAGAGCATCGCATGCATCTCCGTACCGTCGTGAACCTCGCCTCCAGCGAAGGGACCAGGAACGCGTTGCGCCATTCAACGGAGCGCTCCAAACGCCAGTTGAGTTCATCCGCTTGGCTTGGAGGGAACCCGAACTGTTTGTTATCCCGAGCCAGATGTTTGTTGGCCGTGATATTTTCCCTTAACGGGCCCGTGAATTATTAATCGAGCAGGCGCGCGCGCGCCACCCCTAACGATGCCAAATGTTTGTCGCCTTTAGTCACTCGGTCAACAAAGGCTGTCTCGCTTCGCGCCTTTGTCGTGGCCTACGTCATGGGGACATTTAAGCAACAAACAAACAAACAAAATAATCCCCATCATCGAATGTATCACCCTCCGCTGTCTTCATTGTAACGTCGCTTGCCCAACAGCACGGACGAGACACGACTCTGAGCCTGGCCCACGATCACACTTCACTTGCGGACGTGTGCTTGAAGAACTACGGTCAAACAATCCCCTTTGCCTGACACACGACGGTGTGAGGAGGACTTCATCCAGCAGTGGATTTGTTAAACGAATGTAAATAATTATTATTATAACATATGTAAAGGCAGAGGTGCAGCCCTGCAATTGCTCGCTCGTGTTACTGCTGGCGGGACGGCCTTCACTGCACTGAGCTCGACAGAGCCTCTCCAAATGCCACGTTGGCCTACTCCGGTTTCCCCCTCCACATTTCGAATCAACATCACGCGTTTCGAGTACTGCATTTGGCTGCGATAAATGTGCGCGTGATAAGCCACTTCGTTGAGCTATCATCTGTGGCCAGGTCGCTTCTGAAAAAGAGATACACATAGCTGAGTGGGCCTTACCTGGTACAATATGAATATATGTTTTTAAAGTTTAAAAAGAGTCACTGACAATCACGGTTCACAGCAGCAGCTGAGAAGAGGAACCCGATCGCCTTCGGTGTTAGTTGCAAAGTCAGAGAGCGCAGCATCGTTTTAATATAATACAGAGCTGTGCTCTTTTATTCAACAACAACAACAACACAACGCTTCAACATTCTTGAGGGAGGCGCTCCCGAGTGAGCTGAGCGCAGTTTTGTTTAAACGTAAGAGTCCTCGTAATGTTTTCATGTTTTGGGTTTTTTTGTGTGTGGACATTATTGTTTTTTGCAGGTTGTTCAAATGTTTATATTTTTAATTTTTTGAGAGAGAGAGAAAAGCCCAGACACCAGCACACATTGCAAGAGAGTAGTGGGGGGGGGGTTAGGTGCAGAGGTGCAGCTACACTTTCAAGCTGGGATGGGAGAGCTATGTATGTGTGTGTGTATGTTGAACTTCTTTCGCACCGTCACGTAGCCAACCGCGCTCATCAGAGGCGTGGAGTCTTCGCCCTTTGCCCGACGTGTCCCCGATGTACTTGGTTCGATCAACGGTGCCACGGATAATATAGGTCGTGGGCAGTAGTACCGCTGATAAGTGGAGTTCTGTTGTCCCATAATACTGGTAGGAACCTCCTGGTTACACCAGCCCACAGGGGATTATTGTGTCCGTCCGTCTGTCGTGCAGGGAGGGGCTGGGTGGGGAGGGAGGGGCTGTGTGGGGAGGGGAGGGTGGGGCTGGGTGGGGAGGGGAGGGTGGGGAGGGGCTGGGTGGGGAGGGTGGGGAGGGGCTGGGTGGGGAGGGTGGGGAAGGGCTGGGTGGGGAGGGTGGGGAGGGGCTAGGTGGGGAGGGTGGGGCTGGGTGGGGCTGGTCACCCCGTGGTGCCCTTATAAAACTCAACGTTTAACCTACTCACGCCGGCTTGTGCCCCCCCTCACAGTCGGGCATATTTGCGGAATACACCACGCCGCCGTTGACCCTGGCCATTGACCGAGCAACCCAACGTTCCTACCAGCTCCCTCCGCAGGAATGTGTATAATTACCGTATTGTGTGGATTATACACTCCCCCCCACCCTCCCTGTGTTTTAAAGCAAACGTTTGGGGGTAGGCGCGCGTGCGTGCGAGCAAGACGAGTGTCGCGTCGCGTCTTCACTTTACGGAGCGTCTTCTAATACGGGGAATACGGTTACGCATATTAAAAAATCTACCACACAATTGGCCACTTGCTCAGAACTCGAGCACCCGCTGTTCGTGAGCTGGTGTCCACTTACAAAAAACTTCCCTCCGTTATCACGATCAGCACTTACGTCGCCTTGCTGAAGGGAGATAAAGTGGTGACTGTGTGTTTTGTCTCTTAAATATACAGTATATAATATATATATATATGTCCAGGGGCATTAATTTTCCTCGTTAAATATTTTCTGCAGCTCAGCTCCGGACCGGCTCCTAGGCTCCAGTTCGGATGAAACCCTTTGCTACGTCTAATAACAACAACAAATTCGATTTAAAGCTTTCGTTACTGCAGGGATTCATCTTCTTGGTTATTTCGGTAAAGTCACGTAGAAGGGAAATAATAAATAATAACAATAATAATAATAAACATAATAAAATAATTCTCACGACGTTTTTGCCACAACGCAAGCAGCCGTCCTCAGGTGAAGAACAGGGCTGTCATTCAGACGCTGTCTTTCCGACAGACCTGTTCTTCACCTGAGGACGGCTGCTTGCGTTGTGGCCGAAACGTCGTGAGAATTATTTCATTATGTTGTATTTTAATTTTTTTTATTATTTCCCTTCTACGTGACTTTACCGAAAGAACCAAGATGAATAACAACAACAACAACAATATTGCGGATGGTGCCAAGCACACTCAAAACGTGTACGACACCGGCCACCGGTCTGGTTTGGTGTGACTCATCGATTCACTTGCCCACGCGCATGCATCGCGGACCCACTCACAACACCTTCCAGATGCATTACCGCCGTGCGGGCATGAAACACTACAATCAGCGACGTCGATTAATCTATGAAAAAATACAATATATATTTTTTCTACAAGGTAGGCTCACTGAGCCATATAGCTTTTTTCACATTTGTACATATATATATTATGCACGTGATGAATATGCGTTAGTTCTACAGTCCCTTTCTACAGTCCATTTTTCAATCCACTGCTGGATGAAGGACAAGTCTGAACACAAGTTACTCACGATAGCTGTTTAATCACGTGACGCCATGCTGATACGGGGGGTGTAGAGAAGGAGGAGTGGTGGCGCAGTGATTAGCACGCTGCGCTATGAACTCAGCTTACCTGAGTTTGATGCCCGGTCACGGCTAACATCGGTGGCGAATATCTCAACTGGTCTTGGGTATCCCCATTCACCGGCCCTGCACAGCGCGGTGAAGTATGGTCAAATAAACCCACCCCCGTCCTTTCCTCCTGAGTGACACATCATCCAGAAGTGGATTGAACAAGAGTACTGCAAATTCATGTTTATTATTGTTTATAGTTACCGTATAGTACATATTTTTTTTCTACTGTTAACATGAGACAATAGCCCTCTCGGTCACAATTAAATTATATACAAAACAATTTATTACAAAAAACCCACGGCTGCATGCATAGCATCGTCGCTGGACAATGAGAGATGTTAATTCCCTCGCCTGGTATGCAGGAGGTCGTAGGTTTGATCCCGACCCTGACGCCTGTTGTGTATTTGGAGTTTGCGGTGTCTCTCTCTCCCCCTGGTCGCGTGTTTTTTTTTCTCTGGGTCCTCCGGGTTTTCCCTCCACATTTAGAATTAACATCGCCATGCGGTTAAAGTGTTTTTGGCTGCTATAAATTTCCACGTGATAAGCCACTTCGTTGAGCTATTATTTGTGGCCAGATCGCTTCTGAAAAAAATGACATAGCTCAGTGGGCCTTACCTGGTAAAATGAAAATAGTTTGAGTAAAAAAATTGTGTATTTTTTAGTTTAGGCTTGGAACTACACGGACTCTGAATACGAAATGCAGGCCAGGATTTGTTGTTATGCAGTTATTGCTCGCGTAAGTGATGTGATCTTGTACACCTACCCACCTCCTTATAATTAGAATGCGTAAACATGCAATGGTACGCATTATTTAAATAACTAAAATCACAGTTAACATTAGTAATGGCATAAATAAATACATCTGAAAAACGCTTATTCAGTACAGTCATTCCAGGTGAGCGGTTGTAACCTTGGAGTTCGATTAAAATCAGCCGAATTTTTCGTTGAATTTAACCCAGGAATCGAACGTGAAGTCTGCGAGTGATTGCGAGTGATCGTTACGTGCGTCGAATTCGTTTGCCTCGACATCAGATTCAAGAAGAAGAAAAACATCCGCTGGCTTGTTCCTCGTGAATTGCACAGTGTGACAACATTAACACACTGGGCCAAGTCTCGAGGCTAAGTCACGTCCCCCCCCCCGCCCCCCCTTACAAAGGAAACAATCAACATTTGGACGATTCACAGCCCTCTGTCAATCCGCCCATGGAACGAAGGCCTCCCCCACTCCACGTCGATATAATGGGAATCGTTTGACTGCACTTCACCAGGCCAGTTAGTGCGCGGTTGGTGATTAAATCCGTGGCACGCGCGAGACCATTTCAGACATCGTCGCCTCCGCCGTTAACCGTTGGCTGGGAATCGAACTCGGCAAGTTGCTTCGGTTAACAGCGCAGCACGTGGGCCACTGCCACCACCGCTCCACCCCACGTGGGCAAAGGGAAAACTTTGGCAATTTAACTAAGCCCCCCTCCCCCCCCCACACGCATCTGTCAGTATGGCTCCAGTTCCACGAAGGGAGGGGGGGGGGGGACACCACTTGCGGGGTTCGTGGCGTGCCGTCGACGAGGGAGCGTAAGCGGCTACATTCATATTTAATCAGTTCTCACCAGAGGACAAAGCGCATTCATTTATCTCGAAGAAATTAATTTGGGGGGGGGGGGGGGTGGAGTTTGACTACGTCCGCGTGTAGCGGCGGTGCCGACGCGGTGTGGATCGTGACGCCTCGGAAAAAATTGGGCCCGTTTCTTCCTCCTCCCCCCCCCACCACCACCCCCTACCGCTCTCTGCGAATGAGCCACTCCCCGGCTGTCAGGTGCGAAAGCCCTTCACGGCCAGGGCCTTAAAGCATCATTTCACGGGCCGGAAATAAAAAAAAAGAACGGGGAAGAAAGTTGGTCACAGTGATTGAATTTCACACACACAAACACACGCGCGCGCGCGCACCAAAAATAAGTCAGCAGTTTTTGCACGCGATAATTTCCCCTGACCTCCGTGGCCTGCTCAGGTTTGTCAGCAGAACGGAAGCATGTGTGTATGTGAGAGAGAGAGAGAGAAGCTCTTGACACATTAGATCATGCTGTAAAAGAACCACTAATCTTGGCTCGCAATGACCTATGCAAATTACATCTGGCCTTGGGCAAAAGCAATGTAACGAATGCCACATATAATCCTGTTCATTGCGGTTGAGAGACAATACATAATTGAGCCATGTTTGTGGACTTGCCCTTTCACAGATGCAAGGGAGGCTTTCAAAATCGCGATGCTACCTTGTCGAATTTTTTTGCGGATGATTTCCATCCTGTTTTCCTCCGCATAAGTGCGCGGTTGTAAATTGTCGAATCTTCCTCTTTGTGAGTGTAATTTTGAAACAGCTCGCCCTGCAATCACAGTTGAGTTGTTGTGCCATACTGTGTGTTGTGTGTGTGTGTGTCAAATACACATTTGAGGATGGCAGTGATTGTAATTCCGGGTGCCGTTAAAAATCAACAATCTCATCAATCACATTCAACCCGTGTTCACATTTCAGTGTTCAGATCATCCGTTAAATTGCGTTTACTGCTTATGTTTTTTTTCTCTCAAAATATAATTGCGAATAAAAACAACTCCACAAATAGTTCAGCATTGACGTCCATTAAAATGTCATTTTATATCGGGACATGCTTTGCCTTGTCACATTGCAGTCCATGATTGTCTTGAAGATTATTTTCTCCACTATTTTCTCCTGTACAGTACTTTGTGCTCAAGCAGCTTCCATCCGAGAGAGAGAGAAACGTCCTTCGTCTATTTTTAAATTAAATTATCAACTCGCAAGTCAAACATCGCTCTAACACTCTAATGGTAGTGGCATCGTAAGGCAAGACCGCCTCACAATCTCACAGACGCCAGGCATATTCCTTCCCAATAATATCCCCGCGTCGGCATTTTAGTCTCATATGAGTTTCACATTCGCAGCACCCTGATACCTGTGACATATCGGAATGCTTCGGAGGCACGCTGGAGTTCCTGCTGCTTTGTGCACTGAATGCTGGCGCCGTGCGCAATTGGCGTTGAAGACAAATGGCACTGAAGATGGCTATGGAAAGACGATAGACAGCCGGATAGCCAGACATTCCGACACCCGGGGAGCTGGACATTCGGATAGCCAGAGAGCCCAACAGCTAAAGAGCTGGACAGCCAGGCAGCTGAACAGACAGGCAGCCAGACAGCCGGGCAGCTATACAGCCAGACAACCGACCAGCCAGACAACCGACCAGCCGGACAGCTGAACAGCCGGGCAGCTATACAGCATGACAGCCGAACAGCCGGGCAGCTGAACAGACAGGCAGCCAGACAGCCGGGCAGCTCTACAGCCAGACAAGCGACCAGCCAGACAGATGAACAGCCGGGCATCTATACAGCCCGGCAGTTGGTGACTCCTACTGCTTGGGCGGGATGACCACGACACAGGGGCCGCACTTGGGCCTCCACATGAGCACCTGCGCGTCGTTGGCGCTCGGCCTCTCGAGTGCGTTGGTCGGGATGGGCTCGTTGCGCGGCAGAATCAGCGGCTGCTCCTGCCGCGCGGGGCCCACGAGGCGCGCGCGCTGCCCCAGCGGCCGCCAGGGCTCCACGTCGATGCGCAGCCGCACCCGCCAGCGCACGGTGCGCAGCACCAGGCGCTCGCGCGTGTCGGGGTTCAGTGCCACCAGCCACGTGGTGAACGTCTGGTCGCGGGTCACGCGGCTGAGCCACGGCGTCGGTGGCGCCGTGCCCGCATCGCCGCCGCCGGCGCCGCCGGCGTTAACCGGCACGGCCCACGTGACGCTGGGGTAGAAGTTGTCGTTCATGCTGACGTGCACGCGGATCGGCTTCCTGCTGCCGTTGTTGTTGTTGTTGCTGCCGCCGCCGCCGCCGTTGCCGCCGCCCCTTGGGGAAGCCGACATGCTCGCGGTCTCGGTGGTGTTGCCGTACCACGGGTAGCTCACGCCGTCCGAGTCGGAGATGGCCGAGACGTGCCCGTCCCGCAGCGCCGGCAGCTCCCAGCTCGATCTGCTGGGAGGGAATGTCCGGTTAACGTCCCACCACCCCACTCACCGACTCTTCTTCGTTCGCAATTCCGACGGAGGTTGAAAGCTTTGATATCCGTTAGATCTGTCTGTCGGTCCGTAATTGGGAAGGGAGGGGTGGGGGAGCTTCTCTGGGAGACAATAGCACAGGACAACAATGGAATTTGCGGCATTGCCCTCTGCTGCCCACAACGTTGTACAGCTTCCGCGGCCGCCGATATCAACCTGGGAGCGCATGCCGCAGAGCCCACGGCCACCCACGCGAGCCCAATGCGGGCTCGACCCTGCACGCCGAGCTTCCGAAATCGAAAATGAGATCGGGCGGCGCAATTCCGGGTTGATTTGGTATCAACGTGGCGCGGAGTGGCGTGCGCGGAACTTAACACGGACAACAGATGGCACCCCCCCCGCCCCCCCCCCCCCCCCCCCAGTGGTGAGCACGACGGGGGATCTGGTTTCGGTCTGGGGGATAAGGACATAACCCACACGCAGCAGCAGCAGCATCATCATCATCATCATCGTCCCGTGCAATTATTCACTCTCCAGGCCACGAAGTGCATTCGACGATTCACACGTATTGCAATCGGCTATCGGGGGAGCAATGCATTTTAAATTATACCATTCATCCGACGCTTGCCTCGAGTTTAATGTACAAGGTGGTCCAGATGTCTTCTTACTCACTAAGTCCTCTTCGCTTCCTGTGGAGCGTAAGGCCGCAACAAGCCCACGCCATGCCGGACTGTCTTGAGCAGCTCTCTTTGCTTCATTGAATGTGTTCTTTTTGCAGTTTCCATAAAAAAATTATGGGGTTTGTTCTTCCCCGGGGTGGGGTTGTTAGCTCCACGCCCAACCCCCAACCTGGAGGACCAGGGCTTGTCCATTTCGTCTGTCTTCTAACCTTTGACCAGTCCGGCATGGTTGGACCCAGTGCTGGATTATCCTTGTCACAAAAGTAGCTAGATATGCTATGGGCCCCGCACTTTCAAGGGCCCCGCGCTAAATGCTTCCAAGCTATCAATTCTCGTTCGGTGATTCTGCACTTGCTCTATTACTATAGTACTATACCACCTTCAACTTTTATGAACGACTGGGTGTTTAAGGTTAGCGATTTGTCGGATTGTCTAGCCGTTTAGCAAATGAAGAAATACAATTACTTTATAATGCAAGTAAACAATTAGTGTTTTAATATTTATTTTATTTATTTAGGGTCCCTAATCCGGCACTGTTTGGACCTGCCGGCTTTGCTTTCTTCGTCATGGAGTGACGTGAGCTTCTCTAACACGACAAGGCGACAACCCAGATGTCTTGTGACTTCCATTTAATTCTCTAAAGTGTAATATATATTTTGAGAGGAAGGTTTATTTAAAACATAAATTTATATGTGATGGAGGGGGGGGGGGAAGGCAAATGTGAGGGGTCAATTAGTTGGATGGGTCACAAGACATCTGGGCCACCCGGTTCAATGCAACATCAACATCTTCAAATCAAGATTGAACATCGACATCGTTCAACCTGAGGCAATGCCCGCGTCGTCCGTTCATCGGCCGTCCATAATTAGTCCTAACCCATAGAGTCTCGCTTCTCTTCTTCTCTTTTCCACATCGACGAATTTCCCTTTCGCCCGCGATGCCAAGCCCACGGGCTTTAGCTGGCATCGGGGCAGTTTAACCGGGCCCACGTCTTGTAACCCGCATAGCGGAGCTCAACAATAATTTGCGGCATCTGCGAGTGACCCACGGAATCGCCACTGTGCTCCAAAGGCGGTGGGTGGGGGTGGTGGTGGTGGTGGAGAGAGAGGAGAGAGAGGCTGAGCTCACAAACCCCCCCCCCCCCGGCTGTTCTGTAATTGGCGCGGCGTGCGAGCCGCGCGGCCACGTGCTCAGCGCGTGCTGGGTGATTGACGCGGGCCCTCAAGTTGGTGACGAACCTGTGCCTGATTGTAATGTGACGCCGCATGCCTGTCAACCCCCTTATCAGTGCCCTGCCTTATTACAGACCAATTCAGACCGTGTTGGTCACCGCCGTGCCGCATATAAATCTCAACGTTCACCCTACAAAAGTCCCATCACAAGGGAGAAACACAAACAAATAGACAATCGCCACTAGTACACTCACCACTACGCTCACCATTACATACCTGTCAACCCCCTTATCAGTGCACTACCTTATTACAGACCAATTCAGACCTTATCGGTCACCCCGTGCCCTTTTAAATCTCAACGTTCACCCTACAAAAGTCCCATCACGGGGGAGAAACACAAACAAGTAGACAAAACCACGCAATGTTTGTTGCCCTGCATTGAAACGGCTGTACGCCGCACGGACCTGCAAACTCAATTCCCCTGTACAAGTATACAGGGTTAAACCGTTACGGGTCGACAGCTGTGATGTTGTACGCTCCGCCGATAGCCGAAGGCGGCTTTAAAAGAGCGGCATGCCACAGTCGAGATGATTGGCCAGCAAGGGGGTACGCAGACACTGCTCGTCAATCAGTGGCGGGATCTGCCTGCGTCCTGCCGAGGACCGCCAATCGCTTCGGCATCACGGTGGTTGTAATTCTTTGTAATTGTAAGCGACATGAATATGATATATATAGTATGATAATTGGTTTTTTACCCTTCTATCTGGCAACAAAACTGACACCTTTTTACAAGGAGTCATGTTTGCATAGACCACAATACCTGCAGTCATAATGCAAACAAAAAATATAACTCTGATAATGTATGCACTGTCCTTGAAGTTGATTGGTCCACACCCGAGACAGCTTTCCTTAGAGCCTAGTCTCACATGGGTTGGACCAGATGATGCCAGATAGAAGGGTAAAAAAACAATTATCATATTTTTACTGACAAATGAGGTTCCCATGATATATATAGTATTTATATTACTCGTTGGTGCTTTCGGTAAAGTCACGCAGAACGAAACAACCAAAGAGTATGGATTCCTGCAGTCACGAAAGCTTCAAATCAAGATTGTATTTATATCGTTTTTGTCGTGTGTGTGAGAAATACAGAAAAAAAGGTGACACCTTCCAGCTATTTCAATTTCGCACGTACAGCACACATCTGTCTTGCAAACGGTTGATGCTAATATTACACACTTTATCCATGTAAGCATTCCTGTATGAAGGGTCATAGGAGCATAAGGAATAGTCTATGATGATTCGTTTATGATGGTGGATGAAATAGGATAAGAAATACTGGTTTCCAAACGTTGATCGCCTCCCCACGCCGCGTGGGTCATGATGGTTATAGCCGGTGTGTTTGTGTATATAGGGGTTCAGACAGTGCCGGATGAAGCGAGTGCGAGGCCTGTAGCATATGTTATAAAGGGGCCCAAAATAAAGAGAATATTAAAACTAGATTCGAAGCTTTCGTGACTGCAGGAATTACTCTTTGGTAAATTAAATAAATTAAATAAGAATATTAAAACCCACATTTTTTACTTGCATAGTAAAGTCATTTTATTTTTCCTTTTGCTATACAGCCCGATAATACGACAAATCGCTAAACTTAAACACCCAGTCGTTCGTAAAAGTTGAAGGTGGTATAGTACTATAGTAATAGAGCAAGTGCAGACTCACTCAAACGGAATTTATAGCTTGAAAGCATTTAGCACGAGGGCCCTTGAAATTGCCGGGCCCGTAGCTACTGCACATGCAGCTACTTTTGCTCCGAGGATAATCCGGCACTGGTTTCAGATCTGATACCGGGGTCGTGGGAGGTTATGTGACCAAACTTCACCACGCTGGTCATTGGGGATTGGTGAAGGGCGGTAGGGGCGGGGGAGGTGTGCGGGGAGAGCGGTTGCCCAGGACCGTATCAAGCGTCACTCGCCGCTTGCTGACCCTAGCCGGGGCAGGAAATCAACTTCACGTACAGTCTATACGGAAAGGTTGATGGCTACTGATGACAAATAGTTGCACATTTTTACGCGATAAGAATGTAGAGGTGGTGGTGGTGGCTAAAACCACCTCCTCCCTCCCTCCCTGCCTCCACCACTGCTGCAGGACCTGCTTCAGCCGGACGTGACAGAAGTTGTGACCAAGCCAGAGGGATTTGCTGCGCTGCCAGAGAGGGCAACACGGCCAGAGAGGGCGATCTGCCCTCTCTGTTCTGCCAAGGAAGCGCGCCGCGCAGCGCGCAGCCACACGCACGGCAACTGTTGGTGCAAGTGCTGTATGCGAGCACCTATGAAGGGTCCTGGCACGGCATGCCGGGGTGGGTGGGCGGCCAACAACTTCGCCCGGTCAGCCTTTGTCTCCCTCGCGTTGCGTGGTTCACACACCGCACCAGGTGGTAATTTAAGGCCGAATCGATCTGGGGAAGGAGGCCCAGGACTCGGTTCAGATAGCTGTCAGCGGTGGCCGTGATCGGTAATCGAACCTGGGTGGCCGGGTTCGTAGCGCAGTGCCCTAACAACTGCGCCACCGCTCCCCTCGTGTGGATATTGCACTCATAAAAAGACAAAGATCCCCCGAATAGCCGGGACAGACTGTTGAGGCAAGTGCTGTTATCGAGTACCTATCAAGGTCGGCACGGTCCACACGAGGGGGTGGGTGACCAGCACCACGCCCGGCCGCCTTTGTCTCCCCAGTGGCGATGTTTACACACACATCACCAGGTGCTCATTTGAGGCTGAGTCGACAATGGAAGGAACGAGAAAGAAAGACCGCACAGAGAATGGCTTAACGACGGAAGAGATTTGTGCCAGAAATATGTGTCACTGCTTGAGCATATTGGCACAGGACAAGAGAGGAAAGTGGAAACAAACGACGAAACGTGCAGTGGAACACCTACGGGGTGTCTGCCCACATGGATCGTGATGATGGTGATGATTATGTGGTCAAAAATGTGAATGGTGCAAGTGAGGCAGTGGCATTTTGCTAGTTTCCATTCGAAACATTTCACCTGGTTCTTCAGCAAAAAATAGTCCTTGGGGGAAACGTATCACCGTGCTTCGGTATTGCTCGATGATGATTTGTTC